AGGGAGGGGTGGGGGGGGGAGCCTAGCCTAGGCGTTGTTAGGTTGAACCTCTGTAATAAAATCGAGTCTAAGCTATGCCTAGGTTAGAGGCCTATGTCTACATAGGGCTCTATAGTACTAGTAAGCCTTAAGCCTAATATAGGAGGCTAGTAGTAGAAATAGTGAATTCAAATAGGCCTGCACTGAGGTAATAGAACACGAGGGAGGTACTATTAGGGGGACCCACTATGACACTCAAAGTAGGGAGCCTCTTGGCAATTCTAAATACCTAGGCCCTTCACCCCTAAGCCAGAGGCCCGGCTTTTTCCCACACATGATCGAGCCGAAAGTTGTTCATCTAGGCCTAAATTAGGTTATGCCGAGGGCCTTGGTCTAGGCCTAGGTTGACTGAACTTTCATGTTTTGTAAAGCATTAGAGTTAATATTAGTCTAAAATTTTAGAAAAAGACATGATATACCGTACATACCTGTATACGTACTATTTTGAATCTAAAAAACCCTGTAAAATGCGTGTGTTTACAGTCATAATTCGGATGAATTCCAAAATATTTATTTAGAAATTGGTTTGAAAATCTACGCTGGTTCCCGGCGTTTAAGGCTGTTCCAGTATAGTAATTAAACTGTTGCAATCTGGTTGTATATATAATATAGAGGACTGCATAAGCCAGATTAGGATTATATAACCCTCGAATATTGCATTTTACAAGGACAGTCACCAGTCCTACATATATGAATATGATGACAGTAGAATAATGGGGTGGGCTTTTATTGTAGCGGCACTGTCTCTCAGGAAACGTGGAGGGGTTTTATCTATACCAGGACCTTTGGAAGGATCTAGTTGTCTAAGTTTCATTTCAAGAGTATCTTTATCGACCATAATAAAATCTTATATTATTAATTTTATTTTTATAAAAATATTTAAAACTTTCGGAATATACATCATATAATTTTGGAGGGGTTGGTAATTACATCATATAATATTGAAAGGTATTTTGAAGGGGTCCCACATCGATTTCGGTTCCAACTAGTTCCATCCTTTCAGTGCTAAAGACGTGTTTTATTTACATCTACCGTAAATGCTCGAAGCGCCGCGGCTCTTATAACATTTTTGGAGGCTTTAGTGAGGCGCTTATAAAAAAAAAACTATTGGCGTGGCGTTTTTCATGCCCGTTCCCATGTTACCAATGCCGTAGTCAGCTACTGGGACAGTTGGGACAGTCCCACACGATTTTTTGTAGTGGGTCCACAAAGAATGGGTCCACATTTTTAAAAATGGGTCCAAATTATGCAATTTTATGTAAAATGAGTCTAGATTTCTTATATTTAGCCTAAAATGGGTTATTTTTTAGAAAATGGCTCCAGATTTTTTATATTTTTGTGTAAAATGGGTCAACTTTAAGGAAATAGGTCCACATTATTTAAATTTAAGCGGAAAGTGTGTCCACCCCGATATTGTCCCGCACAGTTTGAAAATTCTGTCTAAGGAATTGTATCTCACGTATATTCCCGTAGTACGATAGGCCTATCATAGGTCTAACGTCATCGTAAATAAATGTTTATAAACAAATGCTTGTGTCTTCTTTGTGTTATTTATTCATTTTAACACTGTATACATTGTATTTAAAACCCTGTTTCCCAAAGTGTTTCATTAAAGGGGGTGCGGGGATGAGACAAGTGGCCATATATTGCTTATTTGACCTTTCTTGAGTTGGGGAAAAATACTTTAAAAATTCAAAATGTTGAGATGTAACGATAATTATAGAAACAAAACATGATATGAGGAGACGCCAAAATGAGGTGAAAACGAGGCTAATCACTTTTTTCAGTAGCTTGTAGCAATTTTCTAACCAACTCATTAATATACATGACCAGTCTGTCAAAATTTTGGCGAGCAGGTGATCGAGGAATCGTCAATGTCACCAGAACTCCCTGGCCAGACGTAGCATATTTATGCTTTGTAGCATAATTTAGACCCCCGTAGCATTTAGCATTTATTCTACGCATAATTTCACCAAAACGTAGCATAATGTAGCATAATTTAGGTTGACATTGAAAAACATTTTAAATAAAATAAATATTGGTAATAAAATGTTAGTTCCAAAAACAAAGGTTGCTTTGTTTTACCACTCAATATATACGACAGAAATGGGTATGATATTATTGACATGACATTTCTGCGCCGCTTGCAGTCGGGGCGTACTACTGTATTAGGTGTTGCAAAATATAGAGAAGTGCTCTCGTACCAAGGCAATTGAATTCTCGTACTAAATGAGCATATAACTACAGCGCCGCCAGACGTTCGGAACCTTCCATTGCACAGTTCACAGTCTGTCTCTTATACACATCTAGATGTGTATAAGAGACAGTCTCAGGAAACGTGGAGGGGTTTTATCTATACCAGGACCTTTGGAAGGATCTAGTTGTCTAAGTTTCATTTCAAGAGTATCTTTATCGACCATAATAAAATCTTATATTATTAATTTTATTTTTATAAAAATATTTAAAACTTTCGGAATATACATCATATAATTTTGGAGGGGTTGGTAATTACATCATATAATATTGAAAGGTATTTTGAAGGGGTCCCACATCGATTTCGGTTCCAACTAGTTCCATCCTTTCAGTGCTAAAGACGTGTTTTATTTACATCTACCGTAAATGCTCGAAGCGCCGCGGCTCTTATAACATTTTTGGAT